CCCAGGACCCATGCAATTTTCGTATCGGAGCTGATGCTCACTACACTCATAGCGCTGGTCTGATCAAGGCCGGCGAGAAGAAGTGGTGATGGAGGAATAGGGAAGAGGGAGGAGGAGAAGACAAGAGGTGTTGGATAGTGGGGAAGCAGGTCGAGGATGAAGTGACGAAGTTACTTACCTGGAGCATGCGGAGCGTCGTGGAGCATCATCGGCGGTATCTTCAAGAAGAGAGAAGCACCTCCTTTTCCCTGAACCTGCATGCATGTGTGTGTCCCCTACCTTCTCTCTCTCTGACCCTCTGAAGGCGACTGCTGCTGATCTGGTCAGGAGTCGAAATCTGGATCTGGGGTGTCATAGCTGTCAGGTCTGAGCCGTCAGAGTCTGATGACCCAAGGGTGATGTGTCAGGGACTGGTCTCACTAAAGTAGGTGGTCCAGCATTCTGCGAATAGGAGTAGGTCTCTCTCCTATCCCTCTTAATAGGCAGGCTGGGTATCGTCATCAAGAACCAAGGATCGATGTGGGGAGTGGCAATGTGCCACACCAGATAGCATGTACCATGCAGTATAAGGATGATATTGAGTATCTCCTGGGCCTGTTAAGCCCGAAAGAAAGAACAGGGTATACGAAGTATCTCTGCCTGGTTGGATAAGTGAACCATCTGAATCTGCGCTATACTCCATATCAGCACCAAGCAACCAGCCAAGTTAGTACCAAAAAAAAAAAGAAAGTAAGACAACAGGAACACATTACCAAACGTTCGATCCAGGAGGCCAGACAACACATCAAAAAAAAATAAAAAAAATAGACATATTCAAGTTCATTGTAGTTTGATCTATTGTTGATTGTACGCAGCACCTTCTACCGTTAAACAAAAAAAAGGGAAAAATGAAAGGTATAAGTACTCCATTACCGCAAGTCAAGACCAAGTCTGTACGTGGGATAGTACCTTGGTGACCCGGCGGAGGATCTCCTGTGCCGGCAGTCATCATGGATTATTATCCCATCCAGGGCCTGTTGGCCCTTTCTGTCTTGTTGGGGCCGCTGTTTCGGCTTATGTTCCCACTGGGGTTCGGGCGTGTGTGCACGTCCCGCATGCTGATGCGGTCTGGAACAGTGAAGCCTGGTCCTACACCTGCGGAACAGGCAGAGATAGATCGTAAGTTGGCAGAGAAGAAAAAGGAGAGAGAAGCAAAGAAGAAACAGAAAGAAGAAGAGGCAAGGAAAAAGATGAAGGAAAAGATGGAGAGAGAGTTGGAGGAAGAATTGAAAAGTATAGAAGAAGAAGAAGGAGAAGAACAAGAAGAAGGAGAAGAACAAGAAGAAGGAGAAGTGTTGGAAAGACGTCGTCGCCAAGACATATCGGAAAGCAGTACCACGACCCTCCTTCCCGTTGAACCATTGGACTGGGGTAGCCAGTACTACTACTCCAGCGAGCCGTTAAAAGAATCTGATGAAGAACGGGATACGTTTATCGCCAAGTTGGCCACTACTAAAGACACCGTTGAACGAAACCTAATGTTGGAGGAGAAACGGGCTGAGCTAAATCGCAGGCTGTTGGCCGCTAGACGGCAAGAGGTGGAAGAAAAGAAAAGATTGCAGGCAGAAGGGGATAAATTGCA